AAAAAAAAAAAAAAAAAGAAAAGAAAAAAGAAAAAGAAATAATGTAAAGTTTTGGATAATTTTAACATAATTAATAGGATCTAATAAAAATTGCCATTAAAATAACAAAAACTAAATACAGTAATGTTTCATTTAATCTGATTTGGTTAGTGTTGCAGTTATTCTATGAAGTTTTTCAAAGGTTTGCAAAGGAAACTTGTATATATATAAGGCATACATTCCTGTGTAAGCAAACAAAGAAAAGCAGAATCTTCACTGGAACGTTCTTGAACACAATGTACTGTGGCAGCCAGCTTCCTCACCCTCTCTGCCCTCAATTTCAGGTGCCAGGTGTGAAACTGGAGCACCCCTGGGCAGTGTGATGGGTTAGGTTTCAGGAAACTTAATTATTGAATCCAAGGCAGAAACAGCTGTTTCTGTCTGTTGACTTAACCTTGATTTTTTAAAACAAACAACATCTCTAGCTTTTCATCAACATAGAAGTGAACTCTTATTTCAGTCAAAAGAACAAGGTCAGCCTCCCTTAGTCTGGCACCTGGTAAAATGGAAAGGGCACTGATTTTGGAAACACATGTGGGCTCAGATCCTGGCTCAGCTGTTTAATGGCGATGTCACTTCTGGACAAATTTTTTTACTGTTTGTGAACTTTGGTTATTTGTAACACGGTGCTTGATCACTTAACTAGGCAATTACTTATATTACTGTCACATTCTTGAGCTCACTTGTACTAACTTCATGGGGAAATTTAATAGCCTCTCAATGGGTCACGAATATATTATAGGTCAAGATACAGAAGCAAGTTTCATTTTCAAGACTTTGAGGTCTTCTTATTACCATCCAGGAGGGCACCTGATTTCTGAATGTTGATTAAATAGATGTTTACTTCACTTCCTAACAGTTCTACAAAGCCACATGAAGTTAGAAGGTAATCTGTTCATAAAAGGAAAAATAACTGCTAATTCTCTTGGTGATCCACATTTCTGCCTAATTGATACTTGCGATTAACTTTCATGCCAAATGTCACTGTTGTCTGCCGAGTGTTAGTTTACAAAGCAAACCTTCTCCTTCTGGTTTTCCCAAATGAGATTCAGTTATACATTTGCATAATTTCCTTTTTTTCTTTTCTTTTTTTTTTCAGATGCAGTCTTGCTCTATCACCCAGGCTGCATAGCAGTGGCATGATCTTAGCCTACTACAACCTCCACCTCCTGGGTTCAAGCAATTTTTGTGCCTCATACTCCTGAATAGCTAGGATTACAGGTGTGTGCCATCACACCCAACTAATCTTTGTGTTTTTAGTAGAGATGGGATTTTCACCATGTTGCCCAGGCTGGTCTTGAACTCTTGACCCTCATTTATCCGCCCACCTTGGCCTCCCAAAGGGCTGGGATTACAGGCATGAGCCACCATGCCTGGCCAAAATTTGCATAATTTTCTTAGCAATTTTCAGGATGATTTTTATAGAACAAAGTCATACCCTTCCATCCACTACAGAAACATTAGCAGCTGGTGAGGATTCAGCTGTGGAAGTTGAAGGAAATATGTGAAAACTAGCATCTCTTGGTGATCTCACAATTTCATTCTGACGATACAAGCGATGATGTCGCAGTTTCGAGACCCATGCATCAAACCAGTCCTGGGATTTCACCTAAAACAATGAAGAAGAGGAGAAGGTAACTGTAAAATCACTCTCCTACCTACCACTGGTGTAGGCAAATGATTTCCCCTGATAATGGCAGAGAAACTGTTGAAAAGTGATTTTACCTTCAAATGATAGATGTGCTCTTCCGTGTCAAGGTCTATTCTTCGGGCTTTCTTTTTAATTGACATGACTGAGAGTCCAACATCTATGCTCCCATGGACCTTTCCTTTTTGAATCTGAAATCAAAAGACTAGTAAATAGGCTGAAAGGATATACGCTTTGATGTTTCTGTACTGGATTTAAGTAAACCCAAGGTAATCTTTAACTTATCTATGGGAAGTGGAATACTGCACATACCCCCTTAACAAACAGAAAATAGTTAAGGTTCTATGGATTCGGTTCTAGGAGAGTTGATGCTGCAGTGACTTCACACCAATTTTTATAAATAAGACCATTCATCTTCTTCCTGTTTTGGCATAGAATGTAAGGCTAATTCTTCATAATTCTAGATTGCACAGCTTATATTCTCCCAAAAGGACATATTTAGTGGTTCCTAAAATAACTGTGGTCAGTCTTTGACCTATAACCCAGAACATCCCTGAGTAATCAGCTGGCAGACAGCTGCTGGGGCAGAATGGGGCACCTGCGACCAAAAAGCAGGGAGCAGCCGGCTCTTCCTTCTCGCTGCTTCTCTGATCAAGGACATAGCTGATTCAATGGCAGAGATGGGGACAAAATTGAAACCTGAGCCTTCTGTTACTTCCCCTACACAATGATGAAGGAAGGAATTTTCCAGTGTTACATGCAAGCTACTCCTCTGTATACCAAAAAAAAAAAAAAAAAAAAGCCATTTGGAATAATTTTTGTGAATTGGGATCTCCAAGATGAAAAGGTGTATGAAGTAGAAATAAAATGTGTGAGATAGTTTTTAAAAGGACATTGATAAGAACAAAGTAGCACACATAAAGCAGAGTTTATTGGGAGATGCAGAAAAAAGCCTATTTGCGCTTTCTCTCCAAGTGACAGAAGGTGATTTTACTCATGTCTCACTTTTAGGTTTAAGCTTCTGTTTTTAATAACACGCATCAAAATAGTTAAATATTCATGCACTAGGTAGACACACTTTAGAACATGGAGGTTTGGAAGCTTGTGAAATCTTACATGCCCAGACATGCACAAAGCTGGTAACTATGGCACAAGGCTTGTACAATTACAGTGTTTATTCACTTCAAGCAGAATTCGAAATCAATCTTTGAAACATGTCGTGTGTGCTACTTACATCGAGTGGTGCCTTCGAATACTTTAACATCCCATTATCCAGGACGAAAAAACGCTGCAAGAACCAAACACCCTCAGTTATGTCTGTATTTTGAATTATATAAAACATTCACAAATGTGGTTCTAATGTTGCTTTGCATATAGTAATCAATATGTTTGACCATTTTAATGTATCTGGATTCAGTGCACTTGGCCACAGTCAGTCACATTAAATGGTAAGGAGATAAGAGGTCTAGTTTCATACTGTTAACCTACCAAGATTCTTTTATATATAATCCAGTGGGGATGGAGTCTTATCACCATGATTTTTTTTAACAGGGAGGGAATCTGAGGACCTGAAGCTACAATTCTCTTAATGAACCACACTGGGATGTTTTTGAAAGTGAGAAATGAGAATAACCTGGGTTAGGTCCCAGTGACTCTGAGAAGGGCGCTATACAGGTCTACAGGGAATTTTTCACTGTGAACGTAAACTCCTGAATTTTCCCTGGATACCACAATAATTCCTGAAAATGTTTATGTCCATTACAGAAGCCAGTGGACTGAATCTATGAATAATGAATTATCTGGAAAGTTTAAGTGGGCTTAGCAATATACTTACGTCTCTACTTAGCAAACGCTTGCATTCTACTATTAATAAAAGAGGTTGAAAATTATTTCTGAACGACATTAAGGGTTAAAAAAAAGAGAGAAATTTTTGGCAATTTTTGTCTCCTCCAAGATAATCCTAGTCCAGTCTGAATGGATTTGGCCGCTTTTGCTCCACAAACACTCAGAAACTCTCAGCTGTTGATTTTTCTTCCATGGGAAATTCACAAGAGAACAAACAGCTCTCAGGGCCCAGTCAAATAATGGGTCCTGGGCCCTCAAGTTCTACAGATGCAAGGAGTCTTCCTATTTGTGGAAAATTACTCTGCTGGAAAGTTACTGATTTGGGACCTCTTAGTTGCTGAGATGGAGGCAGTCAGGTCTTGGGACTGCCTTCTGTGAGTACAGTGGCCTTCTGTGAGTTCTGCACGGAGAACCCCTATGAGTTTTGGATAGAATTCACAGAAGGCCACTGAAACCCGTTTGTTACAGGTTCTGTGAGACAACTAGTAAGCACTGGAAAAGAGTCTCTACAGTTGAAAAACACTTGATTAATATCATTTGCCCTTAACTTGGTCAATCCAATGGGCTGACATCTGAATAAACACATCATGGTTGTAGAGATCAGGAGAAAAGACAGCAATGCCAAGCAGGCCCTCCTATTATTTATGGAGCAGAATGTTCACGATTTTTTATTTTAATTAATTAATTAATTAATTAATTTTTAAAGATGGGGTTTCACCATGTTGGCCAGGATGGTCTCGATCTTCTGACCTCGTGATCCGCCCACCTTGGCCTCCCAAAGTGCTAGGATTACAGGTGTGAGCCACAGCTCCCAGCCCATAACAGGATGTTCAAAGGTATGGTCTAGAGAGTTGCTGCCAAACCACAGCCAGTTTTGCTGAAACATGGACTGAAAGTGCTAAATTAAAGTCTGCAATTCATAGAAAATTTGTTTCTTTGAGCTGTTTTTCCTGTATTTCCACTTCTATCTATCAAAGAATTTCAGCAGAGATCACCTACAGCATATCATAAGGAAAGGGATTAGCAAGGCCATCAATTTGGGGGAACACAAAAAGGTAAGGTCAGAATGAAAGGCAGCAGTGATCTTACGAAGGAGGATGGCCAGTTGGTGAACATCTCAGGAAGAACATCAGTGAGGAGGACAGGTCCTTGGCACTGCGATAATATTATGGGTTCAGGAAAGATGGTTTCTGACAAGGAAGAGGGCACTTTCAGAGACAGGGGACCGGGACAACATTTCCCATGTGTTCATTTTCAAGTCTTTCCCTTAAAACACGTAAAATGTTTCCTCAAGGAAATTAAAATCCATAACCTCCCTGTGTTGACCCAGTGGCTGGCCACCACTGGCAATTTGGGCTGATACACTTATCTACCCTGAGATGAAATCCTCCTGCAGATGTGGCAAGTAGACAGACTTATTCTTCCACTGATTTCAAACAGGATACCGGGTGGCCCAATAAAGAGTTTAAACTGAAAATGTACGGCAATTTCCTCCTCCTTAGTCTGACCGAATTCTTGCTACTCAGGTAACGGCAAAATACAGTAAAAAAATATTTTCTCCAAAATTAAAACTGGGAGATAGGACAAAAATGTTGAGAGGAAGGAGAGGAATAAACTATAGACTTTAAACAGCAGTAAAACTTCCAGGATCAGTGATTTTCCAGCTTTAGTTTGTACTGGTAACAATAAGTCTAGGAATTTATCCCCAAGAACTAAATTGAAGTTCATGTGCAAGGATGTTCATCACATCCCAACAGTAAAAAGTAAGGTGTGTCTTCCATGTCCAGCAATATGGAATTAGCTCAATAGCAGTGGGATATATAATACAGATCCATCCAAAGTGATACATGCATGAATTTAAAATACCTCATATTTCAAAAAGTATTTAATGAAAATATATCTATACTAACTTAAGGGAAAAAAAGCAAATCAGACAACAATACATACAATCTGGATTTCAAAAAACATGTAAGTATATTTTTTCTTCCATATGTATATTACAGATCTCAGTCTCTGTTAAGTAGAATAGACTGCAATCCATTTGGTTAAAATGAGGCCTTAAATGTTTTATGGCAGGGTGTGTGGCTCACACCTGTAATCCCATCACTTTGGGAGGCTGAGGTGAACAGATCACTTGAGCCAGGATTCAAGACCAGCCAACATGGTGAAACCCCGTCTCTACCAAAAATATTAAAATTAGCCAGGTGTGGTGGTGTGCACCTGTAGTCCCAGCTACTTGGAGGCTACAGTGGGCTGAGATCATGCCACTCACTGCACTCTAGACTGGGCAACACAATGAGACTCTGTCTCAAAAAAAAAAAAATCTAGTCTTACACATACAGCCACATTCTTAGTTTCTCACCTCATGATAGCAAATAAAATCTTTATTTATGAAGATGATCTAAACCTGAATATGATAAAAGTGTTACCTTGTGCCAGCCTTTTAAAGGCCATTTTCTTTTCTTCAGCATAAAGCCCTCATGTTTGTCTGGTTTCTGGACATTGGTTTGGCCTATTTTCAGCCCTTCTATAATTTCCCAGCTGTCAGCTTCCTGAGAGAAAAGAAGAAAAACAAATCACATGTTTCTCAGTGTTTGATAACATACTTAAAGCAGATTCTTAAGTAGAAGTTGCTTTTGAAGCAATACTAGGCCCACCAGAAAGAAGTATGAACAACATTCCAGAGCAAATGCTAACATCAAACACAGCTATGCACTTTTAACTGAAGTTAAAAAGGGTTTCCCAGGTAGACCTAGGTGTAATCAGGGTCCATCAGAGACTCAATGGAGCCACCTTGTCTGTTTGGGGTAGGATGGAAATTCGATTGCCTGTACTCTGAATGTTTAAAATGCATTTTTCCAGACAGTGAATCCCTGGGCACAGAGGCACTTTAAAGTTTCAAAATAAGACTGTTTTGATGACAAATGTTCAATTAGTGTGCGGACCTGGCTTTCTGTGTAGAAATGGAAAGGCTGCTGTTGTTTCAAGTGGCTCGGAACCTGCTATTATCAGGGAATAGCAGTGCTGTGGTCACGGCCGCTCTCAGGGAAGCTTGCATGCATTCCAAAGTGCGCATAAGAACATCTGCTTGCCAAAGACACACCAAAGAAATCCGTGTTTTCAAAAATACACATGCCCCTGGGAGCTTAAGGGTTGCATTTCTTAGTCGTGAACTGCAATTCAACAAGTGATCACTATTTATGAATAATGTTTAGAATAAGAGGAGAAACTAGTAGGCTCTTATAAAAAGTCTAATGCCTGTGCCTACTCACACAGAAAGGTAGATAACCACTCTATTCCACAACATGATCTCCATCTATGTGTAATATATTCACTAGAGCACTCTCTCTGTTCTTAGAGATATATCCACTGTGTTTAGTGGCACTTCTATTTTCAGGAGCCCCATCCACGGATAGTATCTCTAGATGAATAATATTTTTATTTCAGGCTAGATTTATTTGGAGGCTGGTGTTCATCTTTGATTTACTTTGTGTGTTTGTGTGGATGACGAAGAATATTCTGTATAACTTGTGAAAATGGAAACATTTAATAAGTGCAGATCTTTGCAAGTTTTCTTCTAAAACTCAGATTGTAGTAAGAGCTACTAACTACTAAATTCTTTTTAAAATTTTTAAATTTCAATGGGTTTGGGGGGAACAGGTGGTGTTTGGTTACCTGAATCAATTCTTTAGTGGTGACTTCTCAGATTTTGGTGCACCCATTATCCAAGCAATGTACACTGTACCCAATGTGTAGCCTTTTATCCCTCACCACCCCCCACCCCTTCCCCAGAGTCCAGTGTATCATTCTTATGTATGGCTACCAATTTCTAATACAGTGTTTTTCTCTTCTTTGGGAATTTAACTCCAGAAGGGGAAAAAACCAAAATAAGATAGAAAGGCAAAAAGTTAAAATGCATTTCTTAAACATAGATGCGGCAGCTTTGAGCAAATAATGTTATTCAGTCTGATGCAATATTACTAAGTCCAGTAAAAGAAATAGAAAAGGATCCTACTGTAGTTCTCACAATGAAATAGGCTTTCAAACTGACAGAAGCAAAAGATAAAACCAGACCAAACAATGTTCTCCCATTTCAATTGTAAATGCTGTGGATAATGTTACAAATAAAGTGTGTAAGAAATGAAACAACTCATCTTAGTACAAAATAGAACCTTCTATGTTCTATTTTCCATTATGTTAAAATTTCTCCCTCTATGCTTAGTAGACTAGGACTATCTTAAGAAAACTAAAATTATTTTCTGAAAATTGAAGCATTTGTTTTTGTAATTTCAACTGATTTTTTTTTCTACTTAAGTTTCCAATTTTCCTGAGTTTACTTATAACAGAAACAGAGCTAAAAAGCCGTAATGTGATTGATCATGTCAGTACTTAAGTCAGATATACACATATTTTTGATATTATAAGTTTTAAAATATTTTTAACCTAATAACAATAAATAAGAACAGACAGTAATGTCATAATTGCCCGAGATTTTTCATTTGGAAAAAATAGAGGCTGGGCGCGGTGGCTCACGCCTATAATCTAAACACGTTGGGAGGCTGAGGCAGGTAGATCACAAAGTCAGGAGTTCAAGACCAGCCTGACCAAGATGGTAAAACCCCGTCTCTACTAAAAATACAAAAATAAGATGGGCGTGCCTGTAATCCCAGCTACTCAGGAGGCTGAGGCGGAGGTTGCTGTGAGCCAAGATTGGGCCACTGCACTCTGGTCTGGGCAACAGAGCAAGACTCCACCTCAAAAA